ACGCATAGTTTATATCTTATATAGAAGTGAAGTTATTAAAAAATTCAGACTGCAGAAAACTAACTTTATAGACACCATGTATACATTGTATGTAACCATCTTTAAAACTGAACCGCTTCAAAAATAATATATACTTAGATCCTAACCCATCCCAAATATGTAATATTGGAAACTGGAGTGAAGGAATCAAAATGTCCTTAAATGCTTTTTTAGTTATCAAGCATCTTCACTACATTATTGCTACAATTGAGTTGTAGCTTATTTGGCAAGAAAACCTGGAAGAAAAATTGTGATTCTAGTTGTGATTCGCTGTCCGCATTTTTCACTTAAACTCATTACTTCACCTTAAATGGTAAATTCTGGGTATTCAGAGACCTGAGGTAATCAAGCTGTTGGAACAGACACACAAAAGGCAAGAATTGTAAACAAGGATGGTTTACAGGATTGAAAAGACAGTTATATGTTGAGAATGTTTTATATTTCCTAGCTGAAGCAGGGAGCTTTATAATTCATAGGAATAGGACAAAGGAATTAGCATTTGAATGAGCTGGAAAGATATTCTGTTGCCTGAATATTTTGGGATTGGAAGGAAATATGTATCCAGCTCTGCTCTCATCTTGCTATTGCCAGATGAATATTATCTATTGATTGTTATTTGAATTTTCTGTTCATATGTACAATGCACATTCATATATAAAATATGTTTATCTGCATACTGTCTAGTCTTTGAATTAGCAAAATTTGATCTTTAACAGTCAATGTAACATACATGAGATTTTTTTCAGCATTTTCATTCAGATTCAGGATAAAAACAGTTTCCATATTCCATTGCACTCCAGCCATCAAAACAAACAGGATGCTTCCTGTAAAAATTCTGTGGAAATAGGAACTGTATAATTTTAAAAACTTTCTGATTATATTATGTTGACTTTTGATATCTTAAATATTGCCCTGAGCTGATTTAATAGAAAGAAAATCACTCCCTGTCCATCAGAGTTATTTGTTGTTTAACTGAAATTCATTAGTAGTAATTGTAGAGGTTTCTAAAATTTCCTAATCTCTATACATAGTTTGTTAAATTACCCACATTAACTACTTATTGACTATTCAATAAGACATAAACTCACACTCACACATGTGCACACATGCATGTGCCCAACTGAAGCATGATTTTGCACACCATTTACTTGACGGCCAAAGATTGCTTGAGGAAAGCTTAGAGCAATCTCTAATGTTACTGGGATTATAGCCAATAGATTTTGAGGTACTGCTTGTGTGAGCCAAAAAATTATTTTTATTTCATAGTGGAGAGCTTGGAAGCAAGTTTTTCTTTCTTTCCTGCCATAGGCAGTTAATTAGCTGAATTCTAGATCAGTAGAACTAAATTCATTTTTGAGGATCCACATACATTATGATATAAATATTTTTAATTTTCTTATCTACTAATCTTTGACTGCAAGTATTTCAAGTAGAATTCCTTCAGAGGTTTGGTATTTAACTGACTGAGTGCCAATGTTAGATTTTGTCCTAAAATAAGAAATTGAAAATGTACAAAATTATCCCCAGGGATTTTTAAAATATGTTCACCAAGTATGCTAAATATTGGAAGCAACTGCAACCAGCATGTACTGCTTGCAATTACCATATGTAAATATGTAAGTTGCATCATATATGTGTGTGTGTGTGTGT